TAGGCAGATAATTAAAGTTTACAATAAAGTCCGTTAAAAATGCTAAAATATCGCGTAAATTTTAAGAAATGAAAGCTATAAAGATCTTAATGTTCATTATACTTATTGAAAATTCGTTGGGTTAATGTTTGCAAAGACCTCACAGTAAGGCACTTTTATTAATTCTTACATCACACAAAAGGTTAGGGTATCCTTGCTTTACAGAAGAACGATATTTCTTACCGAGAGTTGCCACAGGAAATTTGATTGATATGAAAAGGAAGTCTCTCAAGGTAATAGTACTATATATATCACGCGGGCAGCTCAAATTATTTCACTTATATAACAGAAGAGGCAATAAATGATTAAAAAACTTCAACATAACAAATGAAAAAAGTTGCACTTTTATTTCAGTATATTTGGAATTCTTGCATAAAATTCTGACCTTTGAGCTTGCCTACGATTTTCACTTAATTTTTTATTACGTGGGTTAATATCACAGGAATAAAATTTCAAAAACTATTTATTTTAAATGGAAAGGTGTATAAAGCAGGTTCATCTCGATACAAAAGTTTTTTAATAATTTTTTTATTGTTTTATTTTTGAAAGACTGCCTTTCTTTCACCCCAACAATAGTTTATTAAATTTCTGTGTAGTGTATATTTTTATATTTATTTCACTAATTGTTTGTAAAAATTTTTAAAAAAAAATTCTTAATAGAGGACAGTTACTTTGGAAGCGGTTTTATACCCATATTAACGAATTCTGAACAGTTGATAAAGAAAAAAGGAAAGCTTTATTCTTAAGAAACTTGCAAGTGCTCACGTAAAAAATTAACAATTCTAAGGTTAGTAAGCCGCCTGCAGTAGTTGACAGGATATTTTTTTTTTTTTAAGGATTGAAAATGTGTAGAAAAAATTGATTTGTGAAAAAAAATATATTTTGTAGATTTGCGTTCTGCAATACTCTCTAATAGTTGTTTGTTGTATAACTAACAAGATTGACCAGCAATAATTTTTTTTTTCGCACTTAAACGCGAAAGCTTCTACGCAAGTGTATATTATATAAGGATTATAAAAAAAATTGAGAGCACATTGCAGGTGCTTTTGTATGAGCAGTTCATGCACCGAGTGCCACCATCTTCTATCTTCTCTTTTTTTCTGTACGATTAATTTAGATGCCTCTAGGGAGTCCACAATTACCAAATAAATTATAAAGGGCTTTAAATTTGTTGAAAATCTTTATTATATCACTCTAAAGTTTATAATATATTTAGTAACTATACCATATCATTTATTGTATATAGTTTATAACTTCTCGAGGAGTTTCGGCATGTAAAATAACACACATCAAAACATTTAATACGCCTTTTATCAATAATAACAGTTAAGGGCGGCTACAATATTAATTAATTTTGAGGCGAAAGGTGCTAAAGGGGATCGTTCACTCAACAAGGCAACAAATATAATCTATCGTCACCGACGGCATTTGCTTAGGCAGCACATTATGCCGTCGAGCGGGATACCTTTTTTCAGTAAAGCCTTGTTCGGCGCTCGCCAATTAATATATCCTTAGCTCCTAAGCATGCGAAAAGAACAATATTTAATTTGCCTGGCATGTAGTGTCGTAGTTAAATGGCGAGTCATAGTCAAGCATGTACAAGTTTGGCAACACCCGAGTGTTACCAGTAGCGCCTAATATGATGAAAGGCTCATGGAAAAACTCGGTATATTTGTTACAATTTGTGAAATAACGTGTATAAAGCATTTATATATATAAAAGCAAGTTCTGTAAAGGTTTGAGGGTAATTACCAGCTTACATAGTTATTAATGTAAGGAGGGAAAAATGATATTGTATGCTAAAAGTTTAGAAAATCGCTGTATTCACGTTATAATAGGTGGCCCACCAGACCTTTGTGTGAAGAAACCACCTTCATCAACGTTATAGACAAAGACAATTTAAGTTTTAGTAGGTATAACGACTGTAGAGTATTTGACCTCATAATTTTCCGTCCTGCACCAGTCAAACTCAATATATTACCAGCACCTTCATACCAGTCAAAGGAAAATATGCATGAAGACCGTAACACCCAAGGCTAGTCTTTGCCATGTGCGCCAGACACCACGGGCAAAGGAAACGCAATTGTGCTCATTGAGATTCTACAAGCCGACTCTTCCAAGCAAGTGCTTGAAGTAACGATTCTCACACAGAACAGCTTAAAGATTGATTATATAAAGAATAGAAAGATTCGAAGAATTTAACCTTCTGAAAACCTAAAATTTGTACTGCCTTGATGCTTTGCAGAGCTGGCAGAAATATAAGAAATGTGATGGATGCCCCATACAGTCAAGGTGGCTAAAAGTTTCAAAGTTACATAGTGAGGAAAGTAGAATAAGGGCCGCTTATTGCCTAAAAACCAATGTAAGTAGATCTATTTTTTACGTGAACAGGTTAGTCGTCATAAAAAACTAGCAGGTTGTTAGACGAGTGGTGTACGATATTTACAAAACTTTAGTGGAGAGCGGGATAATCTTTAATAGGACGCCGTTTTTTCTACTAGAGTGTTGTAAGTCTTTGCAGTGTTTTTCGGTGTAACTCACGATATATTTCTCAACTAGAAGATAGTTTTTGAACATTTGTACTTTTGTAAGTTGAACCTCGCCCAACTCCAAACAACGGGGAGCAGCAGCGCAGAAACTCGCACTTGCCCAAAGGATCTGACGGTAATAGCACCGTCAGCATAATTGTTCTTCCAAAAATTTTTATTTTAGATTACCTAGGTTCCAATAGATAACACGTAGAAAAAAAAGTTATAATATTTTCTTATCTAGTAGTATATATAAAGCTACTGCACGTAAAAGTGCAAAATTCAACTGTAATTGTTGAGGTATCATTCTTTTCTCGTGCATACCTGGAATTTGATGACTTCGTGTTAATAGTTTGCATAAATTTTACAAAAGTAGATACCAGTTCTTAATTTTTTACTTTATTTGATGCTTCCTTTTAAGTTGTGGCCAAGATTGTGCTACAGACTCGATCAGTATTTGAAGGTTATATAGTTTTTCAGATTCTAATTTTTCCAATAAATTTTTAAAAAATTGGTCGCTTTACTACTTTAATTGTGGAGTCTGTTGAAATGTTATTATAATTATTAGTTCTTTCCTATTTAAAAAAGGCGTTCACACTCTTACTATTAATGTTATAATAATTATTATAATATTAGTATAATTATTACTAATGTCACTAATATTTTAGTTTCTATTGTTTTCCTCACCAATAATAAGATAAATTAGGGGGTTGGCTATCTTTTTTAACTTTTTCTTATCTAGAAAGCCCAAGATATATTTAAGAGTTAAAAGGGAAATAGCTTTTTACTATAATAATGACTTTATTAAGGTTAATGCTTTACGCCCATTAAAATTATTCAATATTGTTAGTTTTGAAAGCAGAACTCTTTTGATTTGTCGTAGCCTTCCTAAATTTTTTTCGGAGTTTGTTGTTTCCTTTAAGCAAAGTAACTATAAGTTTTTGTTAGTCGCTATCGAGGAAGGAATGCTCGTAACCCTTAAAAAATTAACCATGGTATTGGAGGAATTTACGAGTAAAATTAAATATATTTGTATATATAATTAAAAAAAATTTAAATCAATAAATTCCGCAAAAAAGGTGCACAAGCTATTTAGCTCAAATGTAGAAGAAAACAGTTTAAGTATACGTTGAGTTTGGCCTTTATTATAAGATATAAAGCTTAATACTTTTTATTTTAAAGCTCCAAAGTCTTAACTCTGGTATTTTACCAACCTTTAGTATTTCTTAAAGTAAGTTAAAAGTTTTTTTAATTTAAAATAATGATAGCTTCAAAAAATAAAACATTACAAATGTAAACTACTATTTTATAGTTATTTCAACAGAAAAAGATATATTTAACTTATTGTTACCGAAACTAAAGCAAACTACAAAGCACGAAGCCTTAAATAGCAAAATTGGAATTCTTAAAACACTTATTTAGTTTAACGGTTTTGATTCGGTTTAGCTCAGTTTTTGTTTTTATTTGTTTTTTATTTTAAATAACTCATTGATAACCCTTATAAAATAGTGGGTTTACAAAATCTTTAAAATAATTATACTAATTAAAACTTGAAATATTAACGACAAACGTTGGTTTGCCCCTTTGAAAAATTATACTTTATTAATCTTTTTTTTATTACTTTTTAGATAGTATCTCGTGAGTTTTTTATGATCATCCTATTGACCTTCTATCTTATGATATATAATCCTCTACTCCACAGTTAATTTTCTTATAGAGGATTTTCAAGAGTCCGCAACTAAGACTTCCTTTGTAGCTCTTTTAACAATTGCTTTTTTATTGTTATGCGCTGTTAAATTTCCGTAAAACTTTAATAATTATGGAGCTTAGGACATATCAAAACTTATAAAATTTTATTTAATTAAAAAGGAAAAAATCCTAATAAGATTACAACTTATAAACTTATTCTACTAAACCAGCTATATTCGAAATTTATAAAGGTAAGCAATCTCCCGGCAGGGGCTCTGTGTCACATTTTTCTCGAATAAAACTTTTGTAAGATTATTCGCCAACTCATATATTACAATATATTATTCAACTAAATAAGCCTTAATATTTAAATTAAGGAAAGTGCATTAGTTTGGAATGTACGAAAGTCTTTTACGTAGGAAAAACCCCAACAAAAATTGTTACAATTTTTAAATTTATAAACTTTTGGTCAGTAATATATACTATAATTGAAAGATTAAAGTAACTTAAAGTAAAGAAACTTTACGGTGAGTCAGCGACTTAGAAGGAACAGCTTAAGTGGTAATAGACGGCGTTTTATGGGAAGCAAAATACACGAAGGAAGTTAATAACAAAAGCTTTCTACCATTTTTTCAACTCTAACATAGAGGACCATCTTCATATCATTTAAAAATTCTCTTGTGATTACAGAAGGAAAGCCTACGCATTCTTACAAAAATGCGGCAAAAATATTCGTAACAGAAATTTTTAAAGCGAATAAACAATACTTTATTTAACATCCATCCACAGTTTAACTGTAAAATTCTTCTTCGTCGCGTATGGAGGGGTAAAGAGTTTTTTTAACAGTATCTAGTCTTTTTTGAATAACTCTTTTCCGATAGTAATAAATTATTGTAAAACCACCACCTATAATAAGTGCGCCTCCAGTAACCGAAAATGCAATAATCTTCTCTCTTGATAATGACTTAGTACTTATTTCTGAATCGTTAGAGGTTGAAAAAATGGCCTTTTCTTTTTCGTATGAACTAATATTCCCACTGAAGTCAAGAGAAAAAACTGGTTTCGCCTTGGTAGTCGTTAGCTTATTGAGAGTTTCCGCCGGAATACTCTGGTCCTCCTTACTCACAGAAAGTACAGTCAACTTATTACTTGTTAATAATTTGTTGCTTTCTTCTGTCTTATTAGAAGCAGAAAATGTGGTTACTCCACTCTTAATTGTGCTATTTGTTTCTAATTCTTTATTTTTTAAATCATAAGAAACTGAATTCATTATGTTAGTGCTTTGCATATTAAGAGTTTCGAACGACACTGACGGCATACCTTGGTTTTGATCATTCTCCCTGTTTAAAGAGTCCCCAATGTTAGTATCAAGGATGTTCACATTAGAAAAGTTAAAAGTCGGATACTCAGCTTTTTGTTCTTCCACGGTTTCTACTACCCCGTGGTGTTCAAAGCTTTCGTTTTTTATAGAAGCAACGGGAGAAAGGGAAGCTGGAGATGTCTGCAGGCTTGAATTGCCTAAAAAATTTCCAAACGGCGTAGACGACTCTACGTTTTGTATATCAGTTTTCTTAGTCTCTATAGGCTCTTTGTTTAGTTTAACTTGGTCGCTTCCAATTAAAGTTTTATTTTTTTCCTCTATTGGAGTTGGAATCCCCAATATTGAACTTTGAGAATTATTTTTAAGTGCCCTTAATGAGTCATGCTTAAACATTGCATCTGTTTTTTCCATGACCTTATCTGCATAATGCGACTCTATTTCCACTTCGTCGCCTTTGAAAGAGGTGTCAATTCCAGCAGTCTTTTGTAGTAGAGCAGTGGGCCTCGTTTCTTTAGTGAAATTATCGTACTGAAAAAATCTTGTTACCAATGAATTATTTAAACCTTCATAGGGCGTAAGTTCCTCCTTGCTGTCATCCATAGCTCTTGTTTTTATTTCGCTAGCGTCCAATTCAAAAATATCCACGAATGGAGAAGCAACTGCATTTGCATTAAAAACACTCCTTCTAACATTGCTCTTCCTCTCGTCCCATTGACTTTCAGCGTTTTGCAGTTTTTTCACCCCGGGGGCTATTTGAGTTAAGTCTTCAGGAACAAGTGATGAAGATAATATTGCATCATTAATATCACTATTTACTGGAGTCGAGATAATATTTAAGTAAGCAACTTTAGGGATAGAGACGTTAACGATTGTAACTATTGTCGGATCGGTAGTCGAAACACCACTTAGCTGAATTTTTTCCGTTAAAGAAGTGTTTATTACCCTCAGGAGAATATTTGTGTCATACTTAAAATCCTTACTTTTCGATAGTTCCAAAGGGGTGTAGTACTTGCCTTTCAACGTAACAAAAGCTGAAAACGATTGCAAATCAACTATGAAGTTTAACGTTAATGATACATTTTCCGTTAAATTTAAACTTTTAAAAAACGCAGACTCAACGGGCATCGCTAACTCTCCCACTTTAAATTCTGAATTATAACTAGCACTGCCTGCCAAACCCGTGCTGCCGGGGTCTTTACCGTTAGCGATACCCATTAAGCAGCACAGAAACAGAGCTCCAGACCGAGACCAGAGATCATACATCTTACGAGAGAAACTGAAGATTAGCCCACCAGTTAAAAGTCGAATGGTTTAAAGCTTTAAATATACATTTTAAAATAAGAAAAAATGGCATCTGATAGAGTTAAAAGTAAAATCTTAATATCGCTTTTTCTCCAACCAGCTTTTAAAAAAAAGTGCTGCCTTTAACCTTCTATATCATTAGCCAACTAACACTTAAAGAAAAGCAGGTTTAAGTTAAACTGCGACTACAATCCATTTACTTTCTTAAAAAATTAGTGAGAACGCTTGATCACGCCAGCTTGTTTTTTACTAACTGTGTACTCGTTAATACTTTCAAGTTATTTATCGTGGAAAAGATTCAATGTTTCTCTTTTACTAATCCTTAAGTTATAAATTTTGTTTTATGAAAATATAATACATAACCAATAAGGTATCTATAACGTCATTTAATATTATATCTCTGTGGACTTATTATTTTAATTAAATAGCAAAACCTTTTAAATATATATATATTTCATCGAACTGTCAAGGGGTCAACTGAACTAAATTGATTGTTTTTGCACCAGCAAGCTGTAACTGTAACAACTACTAACAATGTTAACTGGGTAAAGTATTAAAGTTTCATAATATTTTTTTAAAAAAAAAAGGTTATATATCGTCATTGCTATTTGTTTAAAAGTTCTTATTTTTTTTAAGTTTTGACTCAAATTAGCCGTTTAATAAAATAATATGAGTTATCGAGCAAGACCATTTATCCTATTTAATCATTGAAAGTCTAAAATTTACATTTAATTTAAGGTTGTTGAACACATTTATTGTAAATTTAGGTGATGGGAGAAGTGGATATATAATTTTAATTCTTAATTTTAACATATACACATATCATAAACGACAGAGAAATTTGTTATTATAACCATTAGTGTCAAAATTACTAACACTAAAAAGCGTGGGGTTTGTAAAATAAGAAGTTTTGCCAGTAAATGAAAAAATTACTTTCTAATAATGCTTTTCTTATTGCTCAGTGCTCGTAAGTAACCTGGATATTTTATTCATATTTTTTGGTCCATTTTATATTTATATTATAAATAAGATAATTTTAACTTAAGTAATAATTTTTATCACGCTTAAGATTTTTTTTTTAACTCATCTTTTCGTAAAAAAACACTAAGGAGAACTCACTCACCTTAATTAGCATTACATACGTAATTAAAGTTAGATATGAGATTTATTTATGTGCAAATTTCTTGCCTACATAAGACAAACTCGCCATAACACTTTAATTACAAAACTACACACGTTTAGGTTATTTTACTACAGTACGAAGAGGAAATGCTTTATATAAATGTTTACTTTACTTTACCAAAATAAAATTAGTGAGGGCGTTTTTCTGTTAAAAGACTAAACGAGTTCGGACGAGTTGCAATAAAGAAAGAATTCTTATATATAGTAGTTTGGCGTTCAAATTAAATGTCTCTATAAAACTTTAAAAGAAGACTTTTGTGCTCTCTAATTGATTTAAAACCTTAGTTGATAACAAAAAAGTTAGTATATAATACGTTATAACCTAGTCTTCTATTTATTAAAGTTATTTTTAGATATGGTTATTCATGGTATAAGTATAAAACATATAAAAATGCGAAGAGCTGTTACAATTAAAAAAAAACAAGAACGCCTATACAAACATTTTTAACTACAAGACGTTAATAATTTATACTTCCTACACGAGTTATATCAATTAGGTCTGCTATTAATTGAATTATTATACATCAATTAATAGTACCATAGGTTAATACAAATTGTTTGTGATAGACATTACCGCTCTCTAACTCAAAAAGTAAGAGAGGGGTTAAATTTTTTAGTGCTGTCAGCCATAAGCCGCTTAAACAAAACGACAGTGAACAAGTATATATCTTTATATATAAAGTTTTAAGTACAAAGCAGTTCATTAAGTACTTAAAACTCTCCCACTGAATAGTTTAGTACAAATTAAAAACAGTTATTTCCAAACTTTTATAAGCTCTGACGACAAAAGATTATGGTGGACATTGTTAAATTATGATTACGAACGGGTTTTAGATGTTAACAAATTCTCGAGATAAAAGGAAACTATAAAGTATAATAACAATAAAAGTACGGAAAGATGAAGTGGTTAGGTATGTAATATAGGTATTAGCTTCTCTCCAAATTTTAATAATAACGAATGCAGCGCTTCATTTGAGTAGTAAAAATAGAGGTCTACGTATTCTATATCAAATGTTTTTATTTCATAACAGCTACATAATTTAAACGTCTTACATTTTACTAACTTTTTAAATCCGAATAGTGGCAGTTTAAATGGTAATTATAAAACAAAAATGTTCCCTAACTTTTTTGAAAACTACAAAGCAGTGAGTTTTGGCAGCAGTAATTGTAGAATCTCTTTTATTATACGGTAAGCAAGTTAGCCATGCTCTTCACCGGACACGCAGATAATACTTTTAAAGTTTAATTTAAAGTTATTAAATTTAGTAATAAACAAAAGTAATTAAACTGAAACCGATGATGTTTATTAATAAATAGTCGAGATAATTTAAAAAATCAACTTATTTTAAATAAATATTTAGAAAAATGCAATCAAGCTAACAGCTTGACAATGTAGTAATATTGTATTCCATATCAAACAGAACTTGATTTTATACACTACGTTATCATTCATATAATATTATTATATTATTTACAATATATATTATTTAAATTATATTCATATAACATAATTTTTTTTCAAAGAAAATGTAGAGGATTCTAGTTTGAGTTGCTATTATAAAAAATTAGTTAAAACATAACACTTAATGTCTTTCGATCTTTAGCTCTTTACATTTACGTTAGGCTGTCTTATTTTACCTGAAGCGCATTTACATCAGTAATTACGTGATATATACAAAGTTGCGTAAAAGTTTTGCGAACAGTTTTGCTATAATTTTATAAATAATAAAGATTCCACGCTTTCATGTTCGCTAGTCATTACACAAACAAAAGACGATTTTGCCAATAGTTAATATGTAAAATTAATAAAAAAAAAACAAAAACCAGTTAAAAATGGACTGCAAACAAACAATAATGAACAAAATTACAGGTGTTAACCTAATATTGCTCTTTATAGAAGGCAAACAGATGTATAAATGAAACTACGTAAAAAAAATAGTTTATAGAAGTTTAGAATTTATAAGTAGTTTGCATAAACGTATACCATAGTAGTTTAATAAAGCGTTTGCTTTCGTAATACAAACTTTTAAACTTAATTTCAAAATGCTTTTATGGAAGTTGGGACTCTCCTCCTCCAAAGAACAGCTTTGAAACGCAAGATCCAACGGTTAAAATCCTTCAATGAAAGCGAACGCTATGTAGATTAGAATGTGTGAAAGGGTACTGCTTTACGGTGTGGACAGTTCTACAATGTTAAGAAAACTTTTAATATTATATATATATATCATTTTTTAACTAACTGGGTAAAGCGGGTAATTCAATAAAAGTTTTGTTGTAATCCGGGCTGGTGCATGAGCACATTTTAGTTTCCCTTCCAGCACTGACTTATCACCTGAAACGTTTGTAATGTAATTTTTGTATGTTTATCTATAGGTTTACATCCATTAACCTATTTATTTTATTTTTTTTTTTCTTTTTTTTTGTATATAAGCCGAATAGTAAATTTTATAACCTTAGTAAAACAATTTTTTAGTTTGGTGTGAACCAAAAGGCAGAATTAAAAGAAAAAGGTTAAGTATTTATTGATTTAATAATGGTAGTTCTTGGTGCTCGATTGAGTTAAAAACTTCGAATACTCGAGCTCTCAATCAGGAATGATTGCAGATATATTACAAATAGCAATCAGGGTGTCATTATTTTTTTAAATTAACAAAAAAAAAAACTAGCACCTAGGCGCGTCAAGTGGGCGGGGATAAGGTGCCCCGTCCCATGGCTCGTAAATAAGTTCGCTCACCAGCAGGCGATTAGTGTGCCTAGTGAGTCTGTCGTAAAGGACCACGGCATGGCGTTGGAAGACAATGTTTAAAGGGACCAGCTGAAGGTCCCGGTGAGCATCGTTTCTCACAAACCACGGTGCCTTCGGTAGGATAGGCAGCCATTTGTGCTGTCGCACTGGAAGTGCACACCTACTGCAGTGGAGTCGTAGGTCCAAGCAGCAGACGCTTATGTCATTATTGGCTGGATGCAGGACAAATACAATTGCCATTTGTTTTGCGGAGAAAGTTTACTCTTACCGCAAAGTAAAGGATAAAGCACCTTGGTTACTACCTTGACCCTCGCCACTACATAGTCCACGTGAGGCCGCCAGGAAAATTTGTTGTCGTGATGACTCCCAAGTATTTCGCTTGAGAATGCCATGGCATCTTCACGCCATTAAAGTTAAGGGCACCGAAAAAGGGACTCGTCTCCTTGAAAGTAATACGGCTTTGCTCTTCATCGCATTTATAGTAACCTTCCAATCACGGCACCAGACAGCAAGGGCGTTAAGATTGCGCTATAGATGCTTGCATAGCAAGGTAGGAGACTTCAAAGATGAATATACGGTCGTATCATCAGCATAGAGGGAGATTCGTGTGTGTGGATCGGACAGCAAAGGCGGGTCGCTCAAGTAAATTGCAAATAAAAGGAGCGAGAGAGGTGACCCCTAAGGGGACCCCTGCTGTCAGAGATCGAAGCGGTGACCGGGTATCCCCCATGCGCACGCTGAAGACGCGACAATTCAGGTAAGATTTCAGCACGTTATAAAGGCCATCTGGGACGGATAACGAGCGCAGTTTGTGCAAGCAGACCTTCATGCCAAACTTGATCAAATGCCTTTTCAAATGTCAAGGAAGACAGCGCCTCTTGCCCTCTTATAGTTAAAAGCCGGGTGGTTCATTCAGTTAAGAGGGGGAGCAGCTGGGTCTTTGAGTGGGCCCTTGCCGTAAGCCAGATGAAAACTCCGGTAAAACTTTCCAAGCGTCAACTACTTCTTTAAGACGGCGCAGTAAAACGGCCTCATCCACTTTGCCGGCCGATGACAGTGGGTTAATGGGTCAGTATTTGCTAGATGCTAATTCCGGCTTAAGTGTTTTTGGTAGCATCACAACGATCGCCGCTCCATCGAGCCGGTAAGGCGCCAAGAAGCATAGAAGATGTTATGAGGTAAAGATGCTTCATCCCTATTAATGGCATTTTCTTCAACATCTCACTAGTGATGCCTCCGGGGCCAGGCGCTTTGACAATTACTTTCACCTCGTCAACATTGACTAGATTAAGTGGCTCGTAGTTAATGGGAAGGGAAAAAGGTTTAGTATAAAGTTGGTGTTCTTTAGATAGTAGTAAACAACAAATCTCTAACTTCTTTTTTTATCATATTTTGGGGTTGTTTGAGCATGTCTGCACCTAGCGTATAAAAAAAAACGTATTACCAATAAGAGCGTATAAGCTTAGATTAAAAAGAAAAGTCAAACTAAACGGTATAAAACTATTTTGTAAAATAATTCGCTTGTTGCTTAGTATGGGGACACAGAAACTAAAGACTTTTTAAGGGAGTTCCTTCTTCATTCCTTTTATAATTTGGGAAATAACTTAGTAGTAAAGATAAGCCATAACGTCGTCTATAGTATATCAGTGAAAAATAATAAACTGTGTGCTCCTATAGTTCCTCGCGTAGCCGTCTCCACTATGAGTTGCCTGCATTCGTGTGGGCGTTATATGGCTACCACTAAGGTCTCGAGCAATAGAGAAGTTGAAGTTTTAACTCTCACTATTGCTCTTCTCTCTTTATTTGCGTAGCAACCTTTAGAAATAGTTGCAATTCTTACATTAATACTCATTGATCTCATCAAAACACGTATATTTTTATTATTTTAGTCAGAGTAAGGGCTGTATCGTCGTTGAATTTTGTTAAACCCAAATTTGTAAATATAATATAGCTATTTTTGTCTAGATTTATTTTTTAAGTGAGGTAATAGAAGCTGCTACAAATTCATGACGGACACACCCTAGGTTGTGGAAAACTATAGTTTTCCTGGGGGGCCTCCATTTGAAACCGAGGTAATTTATTTCGATCTAAAAAAGGCCAATCTTTTTTCATCCATTATTAATTCCTCTATAAATATTTATTTCATGTGTACGTACTTTTTATTTTTTTTTTGGTTATTGTTATTTTTAATCAGACTGTTTGCGGGAAAGCTCACTTACAAGCTAAGCGACGGTGCACTTACCAGTCGTTTATGTCGTAATGGACTTGAAGTTTGAAATATTCAGAAGGAATTGGAGCTTAAGGAAGAAAGTAAATATCAATTCTAGAAAATTTTTTGAAGTTAGGCCAAAACCTTATTTTTTAAGGTTTTAGATTGTCAAAGACCTTGAGGATTGGTGTTTCTTACCTATTCGATAAAACTTTAAAAGTTAAAGTATGTTAAAAAACAGTATTTTATAATACTATATAGTAAATATTTTATTTTTATCATTTTTATTTTCATTTTTATTAACTAGTATTTCTCACAACTGATATTATTGTTTGATATTAAAATAACATTGTCGCTTTCTTTTCCCGTCGAATCTGCTTTAAATTTTCTAAAAATAATACAGATTAATAATAACTGCAGTAAGTGACTCAGTTAACCAAATGGGAATTTAGTCTTAAACAATTACTCTTTTGGATAACATCTAAACTTTTTAAAAACCAGTAAAAGTCGTATAGTAATCCCGAAGATCATTATTAGGAGCGAGTGCACCAAAAAGTTTACACTACCTTCTAAATGCTTCATTATAATATTCTCTACTTTCACATTTTAAGATTAAATGATATAAATATTAAGGGAAACAAAAAAGGCAAATATGGGTTTGGGATAAGTAAAAAATTTACTTAAAACTAGTACTAAATTATTATTGTTACAGATATGTAACTTCTTTACTTCTGCTTATCTTTTTACAAAAATTAAAATTAAACAAGGTAACTGCAAGTTTCAAAAAAGTTTTATTACAAGTTAAAATAAAGGACTTTGAATAAGTTTTTCAATCAATATCTAAGTAGTTTTTTATTGATGATAGATTTTCGCGTACAAGTAGTAAACTATACGTTGGCTTTATAAAGAAGTATTATCTAATAAAAAACCATAAGGTTAGAATGATACTTAACCGAACACAATATACTCTTTAAGGGGCGTGTTTAAAACTTTATTTAAAACAAATTGTAAATAAATTTATATAAAAAAGTTTTTTATAAAAATAACTGATATACTGAATGAGGATACAATTATAACTCTCTTTTTTTAGTAGCAGTTAACAAGTTATTCAACTCAACAGGCTTACCTAAGAATATTATTTTCTTTATCAGTCTTTTAATAAATTATTGTGTTAACTTTCAAATTTTCAAGTTATATCTTTTAAAAATGTTAACTAAGAGTTTCACAAAAGTTATTCTTTTTTAAAGAATAGCCTTATGTAGGTTATTTATCTATAAGGTTAAATTTAAGAGAATATGTTTCACTAGTGCGTATTGCTCTAAGTAAAAACAATATGTGCTACTGTTTAAACAGTCATCAACATTGTTCGCTCTATTGGTAAGTTAGTATCTCAGTAAAATATTTTTGCCAAGAATAAAGTAACCTTAACAAATATTATATTCATTAATTTGTTTATAAAATTCTTTAATGTTTTTGTTCTTTGACTTTAATTTTGTTTTGTATGATCTTTATTAAGAGAAGTTCCTTTTTCCTTTGCTTCATAACTTTTTAAAAAGGTTTCTAACGGCTTGCTTTAAAATTGTACTCCTAGGGCCTACTTGGAAAAAATATCTACAATAAGCAGATTTTACTACTTTATAAAAAAGTTTTATCTTTTAAATTACTTATTTGTCTATTACATTCCATTTTTATTAATAAGTTTTTGGTAAACTTAAATAAGAGAAAATAGTTTTACAAAACTAGCAGTTATTTAGTAGAATTAAAAAGCCTATGACGAAAATTTGGCTCTCTACTGCTTAAAGTCGTCATATATATTAGTCGACCTGCATTATTGGGCTTTAGTTTTTTTAAAAAAAAGGAAAAAATTTCGTAAAACAACAAATTTTAAAGTTAAAATTAGGAAGTAAAGACGGTGTAATTTAGAAGCTAATGCCTTCTTCGAATTTAAAATTTCGAGTGCTTGCCAAGTAAAGGATTAAATTAACTAAGTTGTAGGGCAAGAAGTTTTCAACGGCTTCAAAAAAGTTCTGCTTATTGCTTTAGACTTAATCCTAAATAAATGTTGTGATACAGCTAACTGAAAGTTTCACATATAAACAAGGCATAACTGCTCCGTGGAGATTTAGTTAACCTATAGTATTAAAATTATATTAACATAACTTTGAACATAAGAATAATAAAAAGAATAATAAAAAGAATAATAGAAAAGAATATACTTTAGGTTTAATCCCTTAATTGTTCTCTATATACTTTCCGAATAAATGAAGTTTTATAGCGACGTTTTTTTTCATGGTACAGAGAGAGATGCTCTTACTAACAATACTTGCATGATAACTTTTAAAAGATTTAAATAAACGTTTTCTAAAATGTCTATTTCCCAGGCTGTGAGTCTTCGAAAACCTTGTATATTAGACAATAAAAAATAATATTGTACAAGAAAAACAAAGTACTAGAAAGCATTATAAGCTTATTTGACCACTACAGACTCCCAGACGCACCAAACCCAACCGCACAAACAAAGAAAACGAATAAAACTGCAGCAGGTGCATGAGCCCACCTTATACGACCACATAGGCACTTCTCTTGCTACAGATTAAAATCAAAAATAGAGGTAAAGTCTTAGTTCTAAAAGTATTTATATCATCAACAGATTAGAGTAATATAAGTTTTTATGCCTAGAAATAATTAAGAATTAGCTGCTATTAAAGAATAAGAAAACGCGCCCAGTGTGCCAAGAACACGACCTCCAGGGACAGCGGAGCTGGGAATAAGATAATTGCGCTGTAAATAATTACTTTAAGAGTAATAATTATAAAGCATAATATTTGTATGCAAAGATCCTGCAGGGCTTCCATTAATAACAAACTTAAGCTAGTTACCAATTTCGCGAACTTACTCTAAAAGGCTCTACACACAGTCTCCGCTATGGCTTACACCCAACATTCATAAAAATAATTTTAATTATTGAGCATGTAAACTTCATAAATTAATAAAAATTATATTATCTTTTATTAAAAATATTAATATAAATATAAATTAAATACTAATGTATGAACTTAGCTCAAATTGTTAAATCTAATCAAAAATTCTTATAGGTGTTCCTCATAAGGTGTTGTTGTTATAATAATGGACTTTTTAAACATCTTGTTATAAAATGTACGTGATTGTAACCTTTGTGATTAGTGGGTCAGGAGACAGTTGTTAATTAGCAATCTACTTTACTACTGGATCTATTGTAGTGGAATAAAACCATGCGGTTTTCAAGTACTCTTTCATCACTTCCCAAGATTAAAAGCCCCGAGTTAACGCAATGTCCAAAAAATTCGAAAACTACCAGTAAATATTTTCTAAGTTTTGTACCCTTTTTAAAAAAAGTAACGCAATACTAAATATGTAAACGCGCTTTCAACCAATAAATTCTCTGTAAAAGACTAAGTGCAAAGCATCTTCATGGGTCTAGAAAAATTCTACTAACTTTAAACAATTTTAGTCTATACAATGAACACACATTGTTCCTTCAGTTTGTTCCTTCAGTTTTTTGTTAAAACACAGTTGTATTAGACTTATAAGCTTTTAGGACTTGACAAAGGATAGGGAGCAATATTAATTACTAAGCAAAGGAGGTCACATTTTCACATTTTTTTCATAGTTTTGAATTTACTGGTTAAGAATTAAAGGTTGTCAAAAAAATTTAAAGCATATGCATACCCAGGTAAAAGTAGGCGTTATAAAAAGTTCATGTTGATAAAAGTTAAAATATTATAGTTTTTGTATAATTAAAATAATTATAATACTTTTTTTTTGGGGCGGGGGGGGGGAGGGGGGTTACTTTATAATTTAAATATAAAACATATGTAACATCTCATCTTTGTGAAGCTAATTAAATCACCTAAGAAGTAACTAGAGTATCAGTTACAAACTAAACTATTAAATATTCTCAATTTCAGGTTTACACTGTGGAAAATGGTTGGAGACTATTCACATCATATTGATAAATAACGTTATATTTTGCATATAACAGTTACTAAGTAGTCGGAAGTACTAATGTTAAGGGTAAATAAATTTAAAATAGAGATAATATGAAAAATTTATAACATGCAATATTTTAAATGTATTACTCTACCAATTTGTCGTGGAATAATTTTTAATTTTAAAATTGCTTGAGAAAACGGAAAACCCAATGTGGCTAAGATTTTTGCGATAACAATGCATACATGACTAATGAGTGGGCTACATATTTGCATCTATTCAAAAACTGCCATAAACGAAATAAAGCAGTTAATCATTTAAATGACCACAAATGTACATATAAACCCTTAAGAGAGCATAAGCGCTCTACTCGCGTTGACCGTCTGATGCTGTCTCTTTGTAACTTTTTTTGGGGCTTGCTCGTCTTTCAGAGTTTTGTACAAGGAGAGCCCTCAGTTGTTACACCAAGTTTTACATCGCAGCTCATCAATATTACGGATGGAGCTTCTGCTATAAAAAGCGAAGAAAAAGAAGCTGTGGTAAGCACCCAAGACAATGTCCTAGTAACCATAGACTCAGAACTTGAACCACCCTCAGAGCTTGGATCCTTAAACACTGTTATTTTAAGAAAAAAAAAGCCTCTTAAACAATCTGCAAGTATTAAGGACACACAAAATGACGGAGGCTTTCAGAAAATATCCGCCCAGAGTAAGCATGGAAGCCAAAAGATGGTTAGTACATCTTTGCCTATGGGAGAAAGCTTACCATTAGAAAATATAGGAAGCATTAATGGATCCCCAAGTAGCGCAAAATTTAAGGCTTTAGAGCATCATGGTTTCGAGGACACTCCAAGTTTTATTTCTAGCACAGACCAGACTAATAAACGATCCGGAGTAATTAAAGACTTAGATAACAGTGAAGATGATAAGTTTAAAACATTTAAGTCTGTTAATATAAATGAGGATAGTCATAAAACATTACTGCCTAATAGCAAAAGCTTGCGTACAAAGAAAACAGGAGGAGAAAATAAATTTTTTCAAGGCAAGCAGCCTCTAGGCTCTCCTACTTTACAACCTGTTAAAGTCGATGAAGGAATTGCTGATGATCAAGAAGAGCAGGAAAATAGCAATGTGGTTAATGTTAACACTGAACAAAGCCCTCGGCCACTTGAAGATGATGTGGGTTTAATTAAAACTAGCGGAAGTACAGGTGAATCGAAAAGTATTTCGTCTATAGATGTGTCAGCAATCCCCCTAAATATTAATAGTAATAATGCTGATGAAAGTAACAGAAAAAAGGGGAAGAATGTTCAAGAAATTCTAACTTCGAAGCTTCGAGCTACAGTGCGGCCCCCGAGCTCCCCTACTACTAAACCTGAGGAAACTGCCGACGAAAAGGGAGTGCAGAAGGATAGCGCGTTTGTTAAAGTTAACACTGAACGAAATCCTCGGCCGCATGAAGGTAATGTAGATTTGGGTAAAACTAGCGGACGTACGGGTGAACTGAGAGGTGTTTTTTCTGTAGAAGACGTATCAGCAAGCTCTCTAAACACGAATAATGTTAATGCTGCTGAAAGTAACAGAAAAACGGGGGAAAACGTTAACATGGATTCTCAAAAGTCTGAAGCTCTTCAAATGTTTCCAAAAAATTTACCCAACTTAACTTCTTCCGAAGTCAACAGTGAAAAGCCCGGGAGTATTGTTACCAAAGAAGTAATGATTGGTAGTGCCTTAGGGGGAAGCGCAATTGTTTCTGGTGTCGGAGCTTATTGTTTTTATTTACACAGAAGAAAAAAAAAATTAGTGGAAATAAAAGCTGTAAAGGCAACACTACACGCTTCGCCGCCCGATGAATGCCTTTAAAAGAAGTTGTATAACAAGTATGTAAGAAATATAAGCTTTTAATAATTTAATAAATTTCTTTTATTTTACGATATTTATTATAGTTTTCTTGAGGTTGTGTTGTATATTTTATTTACTTTCGTAAGTTGTTTTCGGCTTTTTATAATTATCAAACGATTAGAACTGTTTATTAGGAGCGGGGTTAACCAAGTAAGGCTTTGAAAACTACAAACTATAAAGCTAATAGTGAAGTATGTATATCTAGGTGCTTTAATTCTAATTACGTCTTGGGATTTGACTGTTTTTTCTAATATAATAGAACTTTTTCAAGATTCTGTGCTACTAATAACAATTAATTAGGTTTACGAAGTTAACCGTTTTTTTGGACAAAAAAAATTCAAACTTTAAATGCTCCCTATACTAGTTTTCTATTTTTTGCAAAATTTTTTTATTATTAAGTAAACACCTCTCATAAAACTTGGTGGATAAGGGGCTTGTAAATTAGCTGACCTTTTCCTTTTATTTTTGTTAATTAAACTTTAGTAATCTCTCTTTTTTTTTTTTTTGAATTAACACTAATATTTTTAAGAATTTCTATTAGGTTGGTGACAAATAGTCTAAGTACTTTAATACACCTAGATTTTTATTAAGGATTTTTTTATAAACGTTTTTTTAAAAAACAGTTACAAACTCACTCTAACTTTTTATACATTTGTTGAATTTAAAAATCTATGAAATTTTTAAAATTTTTAAAACTGGAACTTATAATTAAGTAGTTGTAATTTGATGGTAGTTTTAAATAGCAAATAATTTCTTACTAGTTGTAGGCTTTAAGAGAAGGGAACTTTGTTGTTCCGTATTGTATTTCTGGTGATTTTATTTTCTCTTTCTTGTCGGCCACGAATTATTCGTTTGACTTAAGCTAATGTGAATAATACGCTTTTACAAATTACTTAAAGGATCATATTTATTAAGTATCAAATAAAAATTCGGTTTTTATTAATTTTATTATAGATTTCTCAAAATACACTATTTTAAAAAAACTTAACGATTTTTCATTGAAAACTAGCATAACTTTAAGTATAGTTGGTGTTTTAATTTCTTTTTTTAAAAACTTTATTTCAGTTATTAAAAAAATTAATTAAAAGTGGCTTTAAGAATACTCTGTTTAACACAGAATTTTTTTTTAAATAAAAACTTCGCTATAAGGATTTGGGCATATGATACAACTTCTCTGTTAATCTGTTAGAGAAACTTTTATAAAATCAATTTACTTAAAGCCCCATAAATTGATTTACAAGTTAAATTTATTTGGTATAATATTAAGTTTTTGCGACTGGTTTTAGTAGAACTGGGAGAACGGAGTGCAAACAAAACTTAGGCGGGTTATAAAGTTTCACACAAAACATTATAGTTAAAAGGATACTATTGAATAAGGCACTGGCTTATAAGAAAAACTAAAAAGCATATTAATTGGAATTGTGGCTATTTTTATTAAAAAAAAAAGATATTGTAGAATTTTTTTTCTTTTACCACAGTTGTAAATATTTTATGTTGAGTGGTTTAAAAAACTGAGCACTCTCCTTTTAAAATAGCGAGGAAGATAAGTTTGTCACAAGGTTGCGCGGATTTAATAAAATAAATAATATAATATTTTTTAAAACAACTAAAAAGTGCTTATGCTGGTTACATATTCTGGATTAACTAAATAATACCCTGTTTTGATAATAGTTTTTTATAAAATTATCGTTTCTTTCTAAAGACTTTTCAATAGTTACTTTATTAATTTATGAAAACTAATTAAGAAAAAGATATTAAGTTTTTAATCTTACTAAAGGCTGCTGAGGATATGGTCGTAAACCTAGGGATGGAAGGATTTGCTTTTTGCTTGTTAGCTTCCAGGCTATTTAAAAATCATTTATGAGTCATGTATTAGTCGAGTAGTACCTTTGTAAAAGATTTGTTACAAAAAGAAGGGGCTTATTTTACCTTGCTCCACTACAATTTAGGTTTTTTTAATTATACCTACAATTCTATAATTAGATTTTAAGTTTAATAATGTAGCCCAAAAAATATGCTTAATTTCATAAGGCGAGGAAAGAGGAAAAAACTCAATAGTAATACTTGCTTGAGCTAGCAAGTAATGTAGTTATAATAGCTCCTACTTTAGAGTAGGATATAGGCTAGTTAAAAACTGCTATAATCCTCATATCTACTGTAATATAAGTTTATAAACTTATTGAATAGTCTGCACAGAATAAAGGCATTCCTTCTCTCACACGCTTTCCTGCTCTTTAAATAATTATTACGATATACATGTTTTATAACAGTGCCCTCTAAAAGCTTTTGCCCAAATTCCAGTTTACGTACGGGGTTATGCCTGTTTCGCACTTTTAGCGGTTTGGTGGTATTGCATACTTGAAACGGCTTAGTTCCGTGTATAGTTCGCATCCTGCTGTCGCCGCTACACTTGCTGATCACAGATGCACCTCATGACGCTCTGCTTTGGCCGTTGCTGCTTGCGCTTGACGTTCACCCTTGCAAACCATTACAATCCCATTCCTCTTTACGCTTAAAACCCGGCGACCTCCACTTTATCAAAAAAATCCAAAGTTAATATGTTAGGACTTGCTACGTAACTTGAAAACTTGCCAGTTGCTCTTGACACTGGAGGGTGGCAATCAAAGAGGTGAAGCGCAAAACTCTGTCTCAATTTTTTTTACGCAACCACAAAGACCTTTGGGATCTTCAGGGAATATATTCGGGGTTCATTGTTGACAACAAATTTTTAGTGACAAAAAAATCACTGTGCTTATTTTGTGACAAAGATGAAGACAACAACGCAAATTTTTCACCAGCTGCTATTAGGGCTGATACCTTAAAAACTGTTTTCCTATTTTCTTAAAGTTGGCCTCCAGCAGGAATCAAACAGCTATTACACGCAGAGAGCAAGGTGTTCATGTGCTACCGTGTGCACACAAAATTGTGGATGGTATATCATGGCCTACGCTTTCACTATATAGGTATTTCTTTGCAGTATCCCCACGACGATAATTCAAAAATGGAACATGGTACTGCGATTGATGGCTGGAACGTCGCATTTTGGGTATCACGCAAGTATCTTTTAGGCGTAGACTGTTTCGTTATTATACAATCAAAGCACTCATTCAATACTGGAACATACACATTGGCTTTGAATACGAAGCTCTATATGTTACTTTTGTGAGTCTATTATATAAAACTATATTTGTATATACATCAAATTAAAGACACGCTATACGGAGAGTTATTTAAAATATAAATTACTTTGTACCGTATACCAGATTAAACAGTCTACGTTTGAGGATAGAGAGCTTCTGCAAACATTATTGAAAGAACTTACTTGCCTAATAAGACTTAACACGAAGGCTAGCAGAAATACAGTAAGTTTGGGGTGGCGTACGAACTCACATAGTATTTATTAGGGTATAAATATAACGGCAACCACTTACTAAACCTACTAATAATGAATACTTAGCATCTAACTAATAAATGATGCTATATTTTACCTGCCAACCCAAGCGCGAAGCCTGGTATTAAACAATGATATAATAAAGTCATTGCGAACAACTTAAAGGCTACCTTTTAGTTCTAGAGCTGAGAGATACTAGTACAATGCCAAACTAGTGCAAGCGTAGAGCAACCTTAAACCTAAACATTTGAGCTAAAATTACCCCCAAAGCTACCTAGCAGTTGTGAGTATCGTATTGGTAGCACACTCAAAGTTTGCTACAATCTTAGCTAACGCATTACTTACTACTGCCTAGCAAGCTATAGCGAATAAAAGGAACAATGCACTCAGATTGTATGACCAAGTCATGTTGCAAACTGAAAGCAAATCTAAGATTAGCCAACTGTTTCCCATTTTTTAAAGTAGTTTTCTTAAACCGGTCAAGTTTCCTAAAAGTTGATTAAAAACTCACATTACATAATTCATGAAGGTATACGATATTTTGGTAACCTTTTATAGAGCACGATAGTCCAAGGAGTTTAATTTAGCCCAAGCAACCGGGACATTTACTCTTCTGTCGGCCGACTTACTACATTTTATCGTGTAATCAGCCCCGTAATGAGAATTTGACCCATTAAAAGAATTTCGCATTCTCCAAGATCAGCCATTAAAGCCTACAGGAAATTTAGATCGTAGTATTCTACTTTAGGCTTCTCGCTTACGAGTACCTAATACAAATGGCAAGCTTGGGGACACAAAGCAACCCCTAATGCTTACGAAAGCTCAATCGCTTTCAAAGTAATAAGTAAAGTCGTTTTGCTAATAATAGGTCACTTAACCTGTGATCTTTACTAACTTTTTAACTTAGGCCAAACACCTAGCTTACTTTGGCCATTTAGGAACTAGCATATGTGCTTCGTCTGTATCTCTAAAGGTATTTTATTAAGCAACTTTTATGAGACTATGCCCAATACGTTCCCTCTACTCTTCATTCTTTAGGGAGATAAACATCGGTAGACAATATTTAAACCCCTACCAGTAAAAAAAATTAAACATTAGCACATTTAAAGAATATTGTTAATGCTCTAAAATTAGCTGCTAAAAATCCTAGAGTAGCTATTTGCGCGAGTATACTTTGCGCAAAAATTAAAAAAGTTTACCTCTTGTCCCTGCCATCTGTGGTTTTTTGACCAGGAAGGCTTTAATAAGGTCTATATTTTTTTCAAAATTTTCTCCATAGAATGAGTTCTACCCGTCCATGTAAAGTAGGGTGCTTGTAATTAATTAATTTTCAGATTTAGTGCTTTCTCAAATTGTTAACTTTAGGTAAAGCGTAATACGTATTAAAAAGTTTTTTATTTAAGCCGTTGATCTTATTTCTCACAATCTTACTTCCTCATAATTTGTTATTATAGCATCCTGGAGCCGTTAGCATTACTCACTGACCATTAAAACCTTATGAGTAATATAATTTTGCTCGTTTTTCTTATTATTTTTTCAGTTATTTTCCTTCGAAAGCGTTATGCTTATACAACCCACAACAGTAATCATTATTTGGGGCCTCCCAGAAAAACACAATCTTATTAAGTTTTAATAGTT